CCGAGTGCTCGAGGTAGACGCTGACGGCCACAACCGCGAGATCGCCGAAAGCAACCCTGCGAGCCAACACCCTGGAGGCGAACTCACCTGTCCACCTCCATCGTTGCCACTCCCCTGGAGTTGACCGTCACGATGGCAACTCCAGGCGACACCTCGTGCCTTGACACTGGTGCGCCGCTTGCACGGGCGGACGGCAGCCAGGAGGCCGTTGCGGTGGCACCGTCCACGGGCAGCGTCAACGGCGCGACCTGAAGCGAATCTGGTCTCCTGCACGGAACCCGGTCGTCCGAGGCTCCAGCATCCCTTAGGTGTTCCAGCTCAGTCTGCGTCTGCGCCCACGACGAACCGCTGATCGAGACGATGCTGGCGGCCGCGCCCAGCGAAGGTGGGATGAGCTCCGCCAGGGCGCACCTCCGAGCTGAAGTGCCCGCTTGCTCGCCGCCTCCGCCGCGGCCACGCTGGGCACCGTAGCCAGCGGGTCCACGTCCGCTGCCTCCTCCGCGAGCTCCCGCACCGGCCCAGGCGAAACCTTGGCCCAGGCTTCCGACGCGGGAGGCCGCCGCCCCAGACGCCCGCGCTCCACAGACGGCTGCGTCTCCACCAGGTCCACGTCCGAAGCGGGGTCCACCTCGCCGCCATCCAGGGGGCAGCTGTCGCTCCAGGACTCCCGCGCCGGCGGCACGGGCGAACTCTGCGCCAAGGGGAGCATGGCCTGCACCGCTGACATCTGCTGCATCGTGAACTCCCAGGCGCGGGCGAGGTTCCCAGTCGTTTGCGCCGACGGCAACGTGCGGAGCTGAACAAAGAGCCCGCGCATGGCCGCGAGATCGACTTCCGTCACCTGGAGGCACTCATGGCCGGCCTCCGCCAGCGCCGACTCCAAGGTGTCGAAGCGCTCCTTCGCCGCCTTGTGCTGCTCCTCCGCCTGAGCCAGCTTCTCGTGGGCCGCCTGCAGATCCGCCTCCGCGTCGGCGACGGCCTGCCGAGGGCACGACGAGCTCCAGCCAACTTCTTCTCCGCCCTGCTGGCAGTGTGGGCCTCCCTGCGGAGCTTAGCAGCTCGAGAGAGGCTTGCCTGCTTGTCGGCAGCCAGTGCCGCAGCCAACACGTCGCGCTGAGCTCGGAGGGCCACCAGCTGCTCCTCCACGAACCCAGCGCTGCCGCCCGACAGGCAGGGGTAGCCCTCGAGGTACTTGATGTCCCTTTGCAGCTTGGCCAAGCACCCACTGGCATAAGAGTCAGCGCCTCCGCCCTGGCCCGCGGGTGCGCCAGCGTCTGAGCCAGCGGCTGAGGCGGTCGCAGCAGCTGCCACGGCTCTGGCCCTGCGGCGCCCCTTCTTGCCCTTGCCTGGGCGCATCCAGCCCTCGGCATCGACCTCAAGGAACCCTTCGATAAGGAAACCAGGGTCTGGAAACTGGTGGAACTCCAATCGAAGCAAGCTTGGCCATGGATATCAGCGCCGCCCTCATCAGGTAAGGAATCCTCCAGGGTCTGAAGCACCCTGGGCTGGTGGATGCCATGACGATGGACACTCTAACAATCCCACAATTGAATTAAACATGTGATTAACATGTGTAAAGCATGCTCTAAACGTGTTTCAAACATGTCTTTATATATTTAAGCCATGTTTGAAACATGTTTGAGGCATCTGAAAATTAGTTGGCAGCATGCTTCCTCTCCATTAATCGACTTCCACAACCCTGGGCACATTCCTTAACCAACGCCCCCACCGCAGTGCATTGTCCTCCGGTCCTCTCGAGTTCTCGGCGCTGGGCACTGCGATGACCTCCGAGGGGGCTCAGGCCCCCACGTGTAAGCCCTCGCCAGGCCTTCCTGTGCTGTCGCGTCGCACCCTGGGGCTTGTTGCACGGCTTCTGGAAGCACGAAAAACTGAAAGTGTTCCAACCTTGGAGCTGGTGGGGAGGAGGAGGAGGAGGAGGAGGAGGAGGAGAAGGAGGGAGGAGGAGGAGGAGGAGAGGAGGAGGAGGAGGAGGAGGAGGAGGAGGAGGAGGAGGAGGAGGAGGAGGAGGAGGAGGAGGAGGAGGAGGAGGAGGAGGAGGAGGAGGAGGAGGAGGAGGAGGAGGAGGAGGAGGAGGAGGGAGGAGGAGGAGGAGGAGGAAGAGGAGGAGGAGGAGGAGGAGGAGGAGGAGGAGGGGGAGGGGGAGGGGGAGGACGGGTGAGAGGAGGAGGAGCTGCCGGAAAGACGAGGCCCCAGCGAGCCCCTCCGCGGCAATGAGGGGAGCCCGCGAGGCGCTCAAGAGGCCACAAGGGGGCACGAGAGGCCAGTCTCCGAGGGCCCCGGCCCCCGTCCAAGCGTACCAGCCCCAACCCCTACATGTGACAGATTGCTCCAGCGCCCACCAAATGCTGATGCGCATGTGTGCGACACCTTCACTTCGGCACCGCCTGCACCCCTGGGCTTCGCCCACTCCGGCCGCCTGAGGCCCCGCCTTCCTGTGCCCTGTCTCCCTAATTAAAGCTGTGCGCAGCCCGCCTAGCACCTATCGGAAGAGGTTCACTCTCGCCCCGAAGATCAAAAATGTGTGCGACACCCTGGGAACGGCTGGAGAAGAAGACAAGGGCACGCGAGGCCGGCTCGTCAGTTTCACGCTCTCGCAAGCAGGAGCACGTGAAGCCGAGACGCCCGTCAAAGGTTCCCCGCAGAAGTCCAAGACGCACTGTGGATGCCCAGACGGGGCCGCTCAAGAACAGTCCCGCATGGCTTCCGATGGTCCAGAAACGGTCTGAACTCCCTGCAGGACCTCTGTCAGCATCGCCAGAGGACCCCACTCCGTCCTTTTCTGTCCCATCCACTCGCCCTCGACGATACCCTACAGTACCTCCGAGCGCGGTGGTTCAAAACGTCAAAAACACGGTAGCGCAGCTAGACTACAAAAATGTTCGCGTACTCGCTGGGCCGCAACGTAGCTGCCGTGCGCGAGCGAACCTGTGGGCAGCCCAGCGCCTGGAGCCTGTCAGAAAATCGGAGGCTTCCAAAAAGTGATCCTGGCCCAAATCGTCCGAAGGTTTCCGCCACATGTCGGACCCCCCAGGGCCCGCCAGACCTCGTGGGGGGTGCTCTGGAGGCCACCTGGGCCTCTCTGGAACAACTCGGAGCTCGCCGGAACGACGAAGACAAACCCAGACCCCCGACGTAATGTTTTTTTCATTACGCCGACCCCCAGAGGTCCCGACCCTTTCCCCATGACCGGCTTTGCATCCCGAGTCGTTTCTTGGCGCTCCCGAGGCCCGGTGAGGGCCCCCGGAGGCCGAAAATTGGGAAAAGCCTCCCGTCATGATTTTTTCACTGCTCGAGGGGGTCTGGGAACGGGTCCTGCCAGAGAAGACATGACGGCCCCACGCCGCGGCTTACAGTGGCCGCCACCGCGGAATGCCACGCTTGCAACGAGGGCGCCCACGCGCGACAGCACGCGGGCAGCCTGCGCGCCAACGTCCGCGCAGTCGACCCCGCTGTCTCCCGTCGCTCGCCTTGGGCCAGGGCCACCCTGTGGCAGCACCCGAAAAAAGCTGCAGGCTCGCCAGGGACAGACTGCGTCTACACCTCCAGAGGCCTCTCTAGATGGGGTCCGAGTGCTCCAGATCTCGTAGTAAAAGGGAGGGGGTCTCAACCCTCCCAGACGAGAAGTTTTAGACCCCCCCCCCCCCCTGGGAGAACCCTCCAAAACATCGTCCCCAGACCCCCCCAGGCCCTCCAAGATAGCTTGGAAAAGACCCCCCCCCGAAATGAGACCCACCTCCCTTTATTACGAAATCTGGAGTAGACGGGGTCGGAGGATCGCGCCGCATCGCCGATGCATCGCCGATGCATAGGCGACGTCGGCGCCGCAGTTGCGCCGTCGGCGTGGAGGAAGTCGGGCTCCACATCGAGCCGCATCGCCCCGATGCATCGGCGATGCGGCGCGATCCTCCGACCCCGTCTGCACTCGGAGCCCATCTGGGAGGCCCAGACTGCGGCCACGCCCGACAAAAAGCCGCAGGCCCGTCGGGGATAGACTGCGCCTACACCTTCACGCCGAACCCCCCCGAGCGCCACATCGGCCGGGCCATCGAGGCCCCCCATCTGGGGCCGCCCCTGTCGGCCTCGCCCTCCACCGCGCCCGCCTCCTTCTCCGCCAGCGCCCGGCGCAGAGCCTGGCGCTGGCACGACAGATTCTCGAAGTTCTTCGAGGCGTTCAGCGTCATGACCTCCACCCGAGTCTTGATCTCCTCCGGCGGCAGAAGAGCAGCTCCGGCAGAAACTTTCGGAGCTCCGCGCAGTGACGCCGTGGGTGGGACCCCCGGGCCCCCCACTGGCGGCGCGGAGACGCCGCCCGCCGAAGGCCCGGCACCGATCCGAGACATCCGCGCGTAGCTACGCAAAAACTTCCCAGACATCAGACGTCTTGATTTTCATAGGGCGACGAAATCTATACATATCCACTGCTCCCTGGCCAGGCCCATCCTCAACCCGGCAGCGGTGTATACGCCACGCCCTCCTGGCTTGGCCAGGAGGGCGCATACACAGCTCCTGGGTTCAGGATGGGCCTGGCCAGGGAGCAGTGGATATGTATAGATTTCGTCGCCCGATTTCAGGGCCCCGTAAAGCCGGACACTCTAGACCCGGACACCCAGCATCCGCCAATTTTTCCGCACGGCAGCACGAACCAAAAGCACTGCACTGCGACACTTCCCGAATCAACCCGGACACAGGCCCTAAAGGCTTGCAAGATCTTTCTAAACCCGGACATCAGCCCGAATCCTGCAGTGCAGCGGATAAAGAATGCACAGGTACTGAAAACTGTGACTTTGCAGGAAAGGGTGTCGTTTCCTTGGTGTTCTGTGTCCTGGTTTATCTGTGCCCTGGTCTCTGGGGGCCTGATATTTCTTCACGACGGGGTCCCCGGAAGTCCCGACCCTTTCCCCAGGACAGGCTCTTCATCCCGAACCTTTCATGCTGGCGGTCCCAGGAAACCCGGCGGAGGCCACCCGGGGCCGAAAGCTGCCAAAACCCTCGCCCAGGTGTCTTCCAAGACGCCGGCAAGCCTGGAGTTTACACCGCGGGTGCGATGCCCAAGAACAAATATTGTCCAATATACTGTCAGCGCCCGCTGCTGGGCAGGTGGCCTTCTGTCTGAAATTCACAACGTCCGCGGCGACGCCGACAGCGAAGCCTGATCAAAATGAACAGAGCCCTGCTGTCGGTCGCCGTGCTCACTCTTCTTTTGGCACGCAAAAGACCACGTGTGACACAACCACATCGCGAATCAAAAGGTAACTATACAAACTGGGAATTTCTCACAAGCCGACCTGCACTAGGCAAGCTGATGCAATGAACGGTAGCCTAGACAACAGATCGATAGTGCGGTTGATCTGCATGCATGTGGATATCTCCCGCGGCCCGAACGGCCAACGATATCCCCTACACCCTGCGCCGAGGGGGGATTGGAGGGATGAGGAGGATGAGGATGAGGATGAGGATGAGGATGAGGATGAGGATGAGGAGGAGGAGGAGGAGGAGGAGGAGGAGGAGGAGGAGGAGGAGGAGGAGGAGGAGGAGGAGGAGGAGGAGGAGGAGGGAGGAGGGAGGAGGAGGAGGAGGAGCAGGAGGAGGGGGATGAGTAGAATGGGGAGGAGGAGAAGGAGGAGGAGGAGGAGGAGGAGGAGGAGGAGAGCGAGAAACATCAACGGGGAAGGGCCCCAAATCGAGAACATCGTACCCACTCTCTCCGTACCCCCTGCGATCGTGCCCGACGGGTGGTCTCTTCCCAGACCCCCGACGTCACGATTTTTGTCGCAGTGTCGACCCCCAGACGTCTCGACTCCTTCCCTGGGGCCTGTATTTCTCATCCTGGGGCAGTTTTGTTGACGGTCCGGAGGCCCGTGGAGGGCCCCCCAGAGGCCGAGAACGGCGAGAAATCCTCCGTCGCAACTCTTTCCTGACCATAGGGGGAACCAGAAAGTACCGACACCTCCACTCCCCAGACCTCTCCCGGGGTGCTCTCTGGCCAGGAATCCGAAGCGAATCCAGCGGTGGCGACTCGAGGGCCACCCAGGAGGCCCAACAAGGGGAAAACGACGGAAGGGCAGCGGCATACCCAGACTCCCGACATCATGATTTGTGTTCGCAGCGTCGACCCCCAAGTTCTGGACCCCTCCCCTGGGACCGTTTTCTCATCCCGAGTCGTCTTGTCGGCCGCGAGGACCGGTCAGGCCCCTTCCGAGGCCGAAAGTAGCGAAAAACCTGCCTTCGCCACTTTTTCAGGACTCGAGGGGGTCTGGGTGGGTACCTTGTTTTTCTCCGAGACTCGACGAAAACTGGGCTGATAAGCAATAGAAATACCCCCCTTTGGGAGGGGATCTGAGTCAGGAGGGCCCAAAACATGAGGTATATGGGGATCGGCTCTGCAGATGCATCAGGCCAAACCACCCAGAGTTATCATCCCTAACGCGAAGACATGGACATCAGTGAGGCCACGCCTTCGTCGTGCTGTTAGGGTTAGGTCGTGCTGTTAGCGACAAATTAAACATACCCCCAACCTATCAAACAGATGTGAAATCGTCCCGAGACTGTTTCCTTCAACTGTTTCAAAATATTATGTTGCATCCTCGGGGGACCTTGTCTGTCCCGTCGCTGTCCTGTCCGCGTCGAATGCGTGTCGAATCCATGTCGGACGCGTCGGATCCGTGTCGAATCCGTGTCGAATCCGCGTCGAATCCATGCCAAGTCCGCGTCGAGTCCGCATCAAGCATGCGTCGGACAGAAGAAAAGACACCAATTTTGGGGACAGGCGAGGTCCCCCGAAGATGCAACGTAAAAAATATTCCTCATGTAGAGGGACAGGCCCGGCTTAATATCAGGGCCAGGGGCTCGTTTGTTCTGAACGCATGGGCGCCCCGACCTTCGGGGACCTTCTGACACGGGCCAGTCCAGAACCAGGTCAGTCACCCCTTACAGAATCATGCAAGATCCTGCAAGAGTTGGGTCGGGCCTGTCCCCCTACATAAGGATTTGGGAAGAAGAATGAAATATTCCCGCAAGTACAGCAGGAATATTCAAAATTTGCTCACAGAATGGTTCCCAACTCTATTTTTTACTATTTGGGGATATTCTTCCTTTAGAGGCACAAGCCCGACTCAATCCAAGATCCTGCACCCAAACCTGGGTCCATGCGACGGGTCCTGCAAGATCCTGCATGGCCCTGCTCCCAAGGCGGGTCGATGCAACCCTGGCCCTACAGGATCCTGCAAGATCCGGCGCTCTGGCTGACCCCCGTTTGCATTTACCCCCCGTTCCCAGTCCCCCGACGTAGTGATTTTTTCATGACGCCGACCCCCAGAGGTCCCGACCCTTTCTCCATGGCTTTGCATCCCGAGTCGATCTTTGGCGCTCCCGAGGCCCGGTGAGGGCCCCCGGAGCCCGAAAATTGAGAAAAACCCTCCGTACTGATTCTTTCCTTACTCGAGGGGAGGAGGAGGAGGAGGAGGAGGAGGAGGAGGAGGA